TTCAGGTCCGCTCGGAATGGTCGCCGGTCCATTCTGGGTTCTAGTTGCCCTAGTCTACCCACTAGAGTGTGCACATGGCGTCCGGCTTTGCCGGCAGATGTTCAGGTTCAGTTCAGGCGTGACTTATGTCGCGAGATTCAGTTATCAGTTACGTGACTTCGGTCGCGAGATTCAGTTATCAGTTACGTGACTTCTATCGCGAGATCAGACCGGTTTTTATCAGTTACCTGATATCAGTTTCAGTTCAGTTGTATATACTTAGTTCATGATCATGTTATTATTTACGATGTTGTACATTAGCATGAGTTTCTGCGGAGCACAGTGCCTTAGTGCTCACGCCCCACATATTTCATGTTTTTCAGGGCGCATGGTCGGAGATGAGGAGTGAGCGGGCGGGCTGTTCAGGACATTTATGATTTCTGTACTTGATATTGGATGCTAAAACTTTTCAGAACTTATTATCGAACCTTTATGTTTTTGCCACGCTAGACTTCCGCTAAATCTTTTCAGTACTTTTATCAGACTTTATTCCGATGTTTGTCGGATAAGACATTATGACCGTTTTTATTTATCAGTTTAAATTTTTAAACGGTTCTCAGAAAGATCAAGTTTTCATGGTAGCATCCCGATCAGTTTTCGCAAAAATTAAGTATTTTGTTTAATTATTCAGTAAATTTGCGAAAGATAGCGCACTCTGATGTATTTAAAATAGCGGGGCGTTACAGAGTCGAAGCTGGTACTCAGAATAACAACGATGCATCGCAGTCCTGTTATCTGGAGTGGCGTCCATGTCATAAATCTGCTCAACGTCAGCAAACACACTTTGAGTTGCAGAAAGGGATAGAGAAAGATCTCCACAAACATCACAGTTCCACTGCTTCAGCCTGCATCGTAGCCTCTCGAGCTTGGCGTCAAGGTTGCGCATCCTGAAGAGCCTAGTTGACTATTGTAAGGCCCCAGACATTTTTAGTATTTAGGAGCTCGACTTTATTTCTACAAATAGCAAGTTTTTATTTATTTCTAGTTTTATTTATTTTTCTAGCATTTAATTTGATTAATAAATTGTAAGTCTAAGACATGAAGGTCCGTTCGATTTTTAGTTCCGAAATCGAATTAATTCTAGCCCAAGTATCGATTCATTTTTTTTTCTAGTAAAAGTGGTGGTGAACTTGGCAATTTTTATTTCCCGAATCGAGCATTAGTAAAATCGAGAAAAAAATATTTGAGTTGGGCCGAAGCTCGGTCGAGCCGAGACCTCGGCCCACACTCGCGCCCATCAAGCTACCCGAGCCCAATTTTATTTCCAAGTCCAATTTTATTTCTGAATTCAATTTTATTTCAGAGTCTCATTTTATTTCCGAGTCCAGTTTCATTGTTTGTCCCGTTTTTGTTACTATTTTCTTTGATACTTTGTGTTTCTTTTCTCCCGTTTTAGGTCTTTTCATAGGTCTTTTCGGTCCGTCTAGTCTTTTCTTATGCTTTTATCTTCATTTTAGGTTGTATAGTTTTTCTGTTGCTTTTTCCTCCTATTTTCTCTTGTTTTCGTGTTTTGTTCGGTGGTGCGATTTCAGGTTGTATGATGATCGGGCTGGCGAGTGTTCAAACATGATAAGAAGTGGATGATTTGAGCAGCATTTCTGTGGGCCAAGCGTGCGGGGATCGAGTTCCCAGCTCGGGCAGTACCCGAGCGACGAAGCCGAACACACGAGCCATTGAAAAAGACCTCATTCTTGGACCAACGGAGCCTTAGCGCCGCTAAGGCCCGTGTGTTAGCGGCGCTTTGGATTTCAACACGGACAGAAGCCGGCAGCTAAGGAGCCTTAGCGCCGCTAAGGCCTTAGCGCCGCTAAGGCCCGCGTGTTAGCGGCGCTTTGGATTTCAACGCGGACAGAAGCCGGCAGCTAAGGCGCCTTAGCGGCGCTATGACCTTAGCGCCGCTAAGGTCTGTTTTGAAACTGTCGCGGGTTTTGTGGAATTTGAAATGGGAAAGTCTATGAGATCGATTGGGGGCGTTATTATTGAAGATTCAGACTCGTTCTTTACATACTTTTCACCTTAGAACATATTTTTCTGGTACTTTTCATCTTGGATTAGCCTTT